GTACTCTTATTTGACAAAGGGATATCAATAAAAGATCGCCAGTTCAGAGTTAGAAAAATTTTCATATTTGCCTTTGTTGATGCCTCATTTTCTCTCTTAAAGTTGATTAAAAATTCATCTTTATAAGGTTTTTTTTAATATAATCTCAGGAAAAGGCTACAAAGAAATCTCAGTCCCAGAGAATCAAATTAAGTCCTATAGAAACGAGCTGTGTCTATGCTTTATTGATTGAACTCAGCTTACACCTAGCAATATTCCTGTGATAGTAATCTCGTAGATGACTTCATGTTATCAAACGACACTGCAACCAAACGAATTGTCATTCTCTTAATGCTCCTTTTGTGAAAAAAGTTACTTTTGTGACATAAGAACATGAAAAATCCTGATAAGCAAGTCAAAAAAGGATAGTATACTAATAGTAAATCGCTGAAATTTACAATCTTTGAAGGTGTTTTAAAAATAGGCCATGAAAATTTATCTGCAACAGGAGTTTAGAAAGAGGAGGATTCGCACAAGTCAGGTCAACAAATTTCCATGTTGTTTAATCATAACAGATCTTTTTCAAAATTGCTCTTAAAATTCTGATTTGGGAGTTAATTTAGATTGTCTATCTCTATATCGTTTTCTTTGTTTCAAAAAACCACAACCAGCTCACATGAACTTGGTTTTCGCTTGAAAAGAATATGTTTATCAACAGAATATTGATGTAGTCTTTATAAACAACCCACAGTCAATTGACATCCTTTTGAATTACATGAATATGTAAGCTTCATTTGGTTGAGCAACTGGTTGATTAATCATAAATTCTGAACGGCTATTGAATTTTATCTAGGCAACAGTAACCATAAAATGTCTGCAATTAATGATGTTTTGTTACTTCTGAAGCCTAAAATGCTTCGACTTTTGCAGCAAAATTAATTGATTTGAATAGCAAAAAGAATGTTCTATGACTGTAGCATACAGAAGATTCAAACCACTTCTATCAACAGGTGACTTTTTCTCATTCAACGAAGATTGAAGGAAAATTAAGATGTCGCATTATTCATGTGTCAAGTACAGTGCCATTGTAGTGCTAGACTCTCTTCTTGTTAATGGTTATTGTTCTTTCATCCAATTTAATTCACGGAAGCTATGTGATTGCTTTAGCTAAGAAACATTCAATTTTAATTCAAGGGTATGTAACATAAAATTAAAAATAAGAGAGAAACAATCAATATCATCAACTAATTACAATTTTTTAAATAACATGACGAAATGTTGCAAAGGACACTGGAATAGACCAAATCGGTTTTTGAGTCTAGTGCCCTATTGTGCAAGGTTAAATAAAAATAGTATATGGGCCTAAATGCTACACCAGTTTCTATTGAACTTTGAGAAAGAAAAAAAAATTCATATTGCAGTTAACAAAATAGAATTATGCTATATATGTTAAAAGGTAAAATGTTCGTAACCAAATGATAAAAAAATACATTTATGAATTTATAAAAATAATAAAAAGAACAATAAAAAGGGTTTGCAAAATTGGGATACAAAATATGGATGGTAAAAAGATGAATGTTATTTGGATTTAGCAAACTGTTCAAAGATGATCTGAATCACGAGAATAACTTTTCAAGAGCCAATCTTTGAAAAATTTATTTAAGGTGGGTTACCAATTGTCAATAAGTACACCTAAGTATTTTATACAATATTTTACTTCAATTGGGGTATCATTAATTTTTATACAGGTTTTAAATGATGAATGTGATTTCTCTTTAGATACAAGCAAAAAATTAAACTTAGCAACGTTTAGGGTTAATCGATAAGCAGAAAGCCATTCTCAGACGCTCTTAGATTCAGTATTTTCAATATTTTTTAGGTTATGCCAGTTTATATGAGAGAAAAAGAGCAAAAAGATGGAACTTCAGAATTTCTGAGGAAGATGGTATATCATTTATATATAATAGAAAAAATAGGGGACCTAAGACGCTTCCTTGCGGAACTCTGTGGGTTATACGAGGTGACTTAGATAGGACCCAATTAGGATAAAAATTTTTGTGTTCGATCAAAGAGATATGACTTAAACCAATCTTTAAGCAGTACCTCTAATTCCATGAAGAGAAAGCTTTGATATTAATATTTCATGGTCAACTGTGTCAAACGCTTTAGCAAGATCTAAAAACATACAAAAAGAAATTTATTTCTTTTCAATGGCATTAGTTAGATGGTTACATAGGTTAAGTATTGCTTGAGTTGTAGATTTATTTTTTTTGGAAACCAAACTGATGGAAATATAATATTTTTTGTTTTTCTAAGAATTTAATAAGTCGAGTATGCATGAAATATTCAAAACTTTTTTTTAAAAATGGTTAACAGGGATATTGAACGATAATTAGAAACGTCTAATTTGGAGTTTGCTTTGTAAATTAGAATAACCTAATATCTTAAAGTAGAGAATGATATTGCCCTTTACTTAAAGACTCGTTTATTAAGTCAGATAGAACACTTGATAAAGAATCACTTATGTATTTCACCATTGTAACTGGAATGTCATATGAAACTAGTGATTTAAAGTCTTTGAGTAGCATAATTTAACTTTACCAGGCTCAACAGGTGAAAATAAATTTCTGAGATTTCATTTTTTAATAAAGCCTTATAGTCAGTCCTAGCTGGGCCTAGCTAGGTTAGGAGCTATACTTTTGTAAAAAAGTTATTAGCTATTTCTTTATCGTCTGAAAAAAGCTTACCCTTAAAATCCAGTTTTATCCTTTGATGAGACTTACGATTATTTTTTATTCATAATTTTTTTAATTCCTTTCCAGATTAGCTTTGAGTCATTTTTGAAGCTATTAAAGTATGAAGTGTAATGATTTTGTCTACTTAGTTAAATTACACTATTGAGTTTATTTTTTTGTATTTTTCATGACGTAGAAACCAAAACTGGTCTTTTCTTTCGATAAACTTTTTTTGGAGTGAGGTTTTATGCAGCTATTGATTTTAGAATGCCATTAGATTTGCGTTGCTGTTTCCTAAAGCGTTTCGATTTTTTTTAATGGAGCATGCTTGTTTAACAGGGTAAGAAAGTTGTTGTGAAACTTTTCGCATTTTGAGTCTAATGTTTCATCAACAGAAAAAGAAATTATCTGTTTGGAATTATTTATGTATATTTCTTTAATAAAATTGAGTTCATCTCTAAACATCGAGTTTTCTTTAACTTTAGTTCTATTCTCAACCTCAAATAAAGTGATGATTGGTAAATGGTCAGATATTTTATCTATCGAATCATCACCACCTGTTACTGCGTCTAAAGAGTTTATGAAAGTATTATCAAACAGTCTTTTGGTGGTACGAAACTTGAAAATGGCTTTGGAAAAAGCAAACATTTGAGTGAAATAAAGCTTTTTGTCTGACACTCTTCAAGGTTTAAAACGTTAGAACATCAGAACAAACGTCAGATTTATGTTCTGACGTTTCAAACTACGAAGATTGTCAGACAAAAAGCTTTATTTTACTTAAATGTTTGCTTTTTCAAAGCCATTTTTAAAATATCATCAATTAGGCTAGGAGAAGAATTTTCAACAATTCTAGTTGGCTTTAAATCTAAAGGTTTAAGAAAGTTCGAGAGCATCAAATTAAGGAAGGAATCAGCATTAGCCGAACTGTCAACTTTAAAAAGGTTAATTGTAAAGTCACCTCAAATTTAATATTGGCTTTATTTTCCTTACTTAATTTAGATAAAGTAGATTGTAAGTAATCGAAAAATGATGATAGGTTTTTCAAGAATCATTGTATACCACACCTATAAATAAATATATATTGCTTGGATTTATAATCTTCAATCCAATGGGGCTTCAAATTCACTGTCAGAATTTTCATGAGATTTGTTAAAACCTTCCTTTGAAGAATACGAAAGATGGTCAGCGATGAAAACATCACACCCACCTTTCATCTAATTACCTATTTGCCCAGAAAAAGTATGAAATCATTCTAGTTTGATTTGATTTATAAGTTTATCAAATTTAGAATCAAGATTGTCAAGCAAGATTTCTAAGTTTTCTAGGTTATTAGAGATATATGAAATATAAGTATGAAGGATGCTTAACATCTCATTAGCATTTACAGAGTGAGACTCAATTAGTTTATGAAATTTATGGTTATCGTAGTAATTTAGTTTAAAATGGCTTTGAAAAAAGCAAACATTTTACGACATACTAAAAGCTTTTTCGTCTGACACTCCTCAGAGCATAAAACGTCAGAATAGGTTCCGAAAAAACACGATTGAAAAATATATACCCAGTTGTGGATCGAAAATGGCCAATCAGAAAAACGCAAGCACAAGACCGGTACATAAGATCGTCATTTATGAATTTACGTGCCAGTGTGATTCTGGCTACGTAGGACGCACAACTCAAAGATTGGGGGATGGGATAAAACAACATGTTCCTTCCAACATACGAAACAAAACTGCCCCTCAAAGAGAACAGCCTCCTCGATCTTGTAGGTCTAGAAACACTGTTAAAACAAGTGATTCTGCCATTGGTCAACATCTTTTAGACAACCCAGATTGTGCAAGACTCTATAATGACGACTTGTTTCGGATAATTGGCAGAGCCCGGTCGTCCTTCCATCTAGCAGTTTTGGAGTCAATCTACATAAAAACGAAAAAGCCGCCATTGTGTAGACAAAAGGAGTTCGTTTTCTCTCTTGGACTCCATTGGTAATTTTTCTTTAGGCTCGCGTCACTGATTGGTCAACTATACCGGTCTTGTGCTTGCGTTTTTCTGATTGGCCTATTTCGATCCACAACTGGGTATATATTTTTCCATCGTGTTTTTTCGGAACCTATTCTGACGTTTTATGCTCTGAGGAGTGTCAGACGAAAACGCTTTTAGTATGTCGTAAAATGTTTGCTTT